ATATATATATATATATATATATATATATATATATATATATATTTAATATAATGTTTATTTCGTTTTTTCTCTCCACTGTGTAAAAACAAAAGAAATAAAAACGTGCAAAACACACTATTTCTATTTTTATTTTAACATATCCTTCCCCTTTCTTTTTCATAACCCCTAGCATAATTATATCTGTATGTAGGTCATCTTGTTTGTACAGTACATACATATTTTGTCTTTTTATTTGATCAAAAATACAGTAAAAATGTGAAATATTATTATAATTTCAAACAGCTGTTTTCTATGTGAATATCTGTTAAACTGTAATTTATTTCTGTGATCAAAGCTGTATTTTGTGGAAACTGTGATACATTGTATTTTTCAGGATTCACTGATAAACACAAAGTTCAAAAGAACAGCATTTATTTGAAATAGAAACGTTTGTAACATTATTATAAATGTCTTAACTGTCACTTTTGATCAAATTAATGCATCCTCGATGAACAAAAGTATTAATTTTCTTTCTTTCTTTTTTAATTTTTTAAAAGTTTTATATCCCAAACTTTTGAATGATAGTGTTTCCACAAAATATGAAGCAGCACAACTGAAAATTCAGCTTTTCGTCACTGAAATAAATAACAATTTACAATAAATTCACATATAAAACAGTACGTTGAAATTGATTTACAATATTCCTGTTTTTACTGTATATTTGATCAAATAAATGCAGCCTTGGTGAGCACGCAGAGAGACAAAAACACATATATAAACTCTCTTTTCTTTTTTAAGTTATGTATTTTTGCTGTGTTGTTCTGGAAGGTTCACCAAGACATATGTGACCCTGCAGCACAAAACCAGTCATAAGTAGAGGACATCGGGACTTTAAAAAGTCCTGTTTTTAAAAAAATAAAAAGACATGAATAAACATGAAAAGGCAAAAAGAGAGGGATTTTTGTTTTAACCAGAAATCAATTTTCATTTTTTTATACCAAACTTTATATAAAGATGATTCTCAACTATGTTATGAAAGATTTTTTTTTTTTTTAAATGTAAAATGGCCATAAACTAGTTTTTCCATTATATACAATGTATCTATAAACTGTATCTAATTTGCATATTAATGTGTTTTTGGGGCAAATAAGTGTCCTGTTTCATAACAGAAGCTCATATTTTGATTTGAAACCCCGTAACATTTTCCTGAGATGTTGATTTATGACAAACAATTAGTCAATTCGTCAGATTTAAATGATAATTACAAAATATTATCATAGTTCCATAAGGGTGTTACATTTGATCACTAAATGAATGTCAGCCATTTTTAAAGACCAAGAAGAGGGAGTGGTCAGAGAAACATCCAATCATTTGGTATCTCATTACATTTATTATATTACATTTGAACATTTAACTGTGACGCCAAATATAAATATATATTTTTTCAATGCCGATGAAAAATCATTTTATGAAATTTGTGAGAACATAAAATCTGAGAATTACAAGTATTAACCCCATTGGAATGAATGGAATTTAATTAAAGTATTTTTAATTTATAACTCCCGATTGCTCAAAAACAGTCCAGATTTATGAAACCTACATATTTATTTCTAAATATTACTCTGAATTTTTTTCTAACAATATAAATTCATTTTACTTGCGTGAACTTTAACTTTCAGATGAAAAAGTGATTAATTTTTCATGCTGCAATGGTTCGTCAGTAGCTGTACATATTCATGTTCATCAACTGAGTTCAGTCCCAAAGTATTGAGATATGGGAAAAGATGAAAAATGTGTATTTATTATTTACAGTAATATAATTTTACAAAAAAGTATTTTTGACCCCAAATTGGACTTCATACACACCCGGGTCAAAAATGACCCAAATGCATAAAAATAAAAAAATCTGAAAAAAAGTGTATTTTTAGGGTCTTAAAGCATTTGCAAAACTTTTGTTCCCTTACTAAAAAACTTTTTTTTTTTTTTTTAGAAATGTTTACGCATCTCTTGAAAGTAAAAGTTTATGCAGTTTATTTATTTAGTTTTAAAACGTTTCAGTCATATTTGTGTTGTGTTGATATAAATAAATATGGAAGTTTGGTAAATTTGGACTGTTTTTGAACAATCATGAGTCATAAATTCATTTTTTAAATTTATTTAAATTCCATTCATTTCAAAGCGGGTAATACTGATCATTTTCAGATTATACTGTATGTTATACAATGATATATTCAAATAAAATTTCTTATCAATATTGAAGAAAAAAAATCATTTTGCATCAGTTTTTTTTTTTATGTGGGTCATGCGTAATTAGATGTCAAATAATTTTTCAATGTTTTAATTAAGAAAATGGGTAAATGCTGTAATATGGTAACTTTATTGCATTAAAAAATGTAATGAAATGTTACAATGTTTTAAATCATTTTTCGAGTCCAAACGGACCCAGAATGCAAAATAGTAAACAGATTTTGAATGCATCATGAGGGTTAAAATAAGACAAAACAAGATATTTTAATTCATTTTTCGACTCTGAAGAACCACGATTACTAACATTCTTGGGAAACCTGGATATTTGAAGACTAATTTTGAAAGTGATTTCTTAACCTCAAAAAGTAAATCTTGAGCATTTTTATATTGAATATGCATTTTTTCTAGCGTTCAAGATCTATAATCTTTTATTGGGTAGTAACCGAGTAAAATATTGTTAAAAAAATCCATAAACTCCAAAAAAGTCAAAGAACAAAAGGTTGAGAACCACTGCTGTAAAGAACTATAGAAACATGATCTCAGGCTGTAAATGACGAAAACGTTGACAAAGCCTGATGAAATATGCCATGTTGTATTGCACAGTTACTGTATTGTGTAATATCAGTCATGGTGTTCCAAATCATGTAAGAAGCAGCATATATACGATAAACCATCAGAAATGCACTGAATTGCACTGTTTGACTGTTTAAAGATTGTGTCGACTAGAGAAAACAACACATTCAATTCAATTCAGGTTTATTTGTTTAGCCTTTTTCACAATGCATATTATAATTTCAAAGCAGATTCAGAGAAAATACTTGTTTCAACGTTACAATCAGGAGATATTGTTCTGTTATTAGTCAGAGATAAGCATGTCAAAGTAATCTAATTGGAGTTATATTACTGCATTATCTTCTATAATCGAACAAGCTTCACACATTAAATCAATCTGATTAACACGTCTTCTCATGTGGACCATGAAAGAAGCATTTCAACCCCGGTTCAGAGGTTTGCGTTACAGCCGACCCAGTGTTTGAGCAGATAGTGAGCGATGGCTTGTCTGGGCGGCATGATGAACACGGCTCGCTTGTCTTTCACAAGAGCGTCCATCACCTGAACAGCAGAGAAACACAGTAAACACTCTGTTCAGGGAATAGTTCAGCCTAAAATGTGCTGAAAATGTGTTCACCCTCAGGTCGTCCGAGATCAGGATGAGTTTGTTTCTTCATCAGATTTGGAGAAATGTAGCATTGCATCACTTGCTCACTGCAAGTGAATGGGTGCCGTCAGAATGAGAGTCCAAACAGCTGATAAAAACATCACAATAATCCACAAGTAATCCACAGCACTCCAGTCCATCAGTTAACATCTGGAGAAGACAAAAGCTGAATCAAACCCATCAAGAAATATGAGTCCATAATCCATAATAGCGCTTCCTCCAGTGAAAAGGTGATATAGCACATCTGCTGTTGTCTCTCACATCAAAATCCAGCCACATAGTTGTTTAGAGCTGTTTAAACGCTGCTTGATCTGTGCAGATTTCTCTCCTGATTCACACCAGAACACTTTTTCACTGG